TTTTTTTTCATAGATAAATATCCCCTTATCAGCCTTTTGGACATACCAGCTGAATACATCTTTGCCATAAATTTTGCATTTTTAGATGTCCGTATGCCCTACCGATCCAACTTCGACCGATCAATTATGATCAATCGCTCTCGTCTGCTTACATGGTAGTCGAGGCTTTTGTCTTTCCGGATCGAAGTAATGTACAATTCCAATGTCAAGTGCAAATTTGTGACAAAAGAGATAACGAGTGCCTTGGGATTACGGTAAGTGAAAGATATCTACCAATTTGATATCAAGGTGAAAAGAGTTCGAAATTGAGAAAATGTCAAATTTAACCAAAATACAGTAACGAAAATAATAGCGAATATTTGATAGACAGTAATGAAAATCAGGTGATGACAGCGGTAAATTGAAATGTCGTTATCCATTTGTTCATGCCGCTTTTACGTTATTATAAATCTCAACTTCTTTTCAAACTTTCTTGTACTTATTTGTAGCCGCCAAACTGCCCGCTTATGCCTCGAAGTGAATTTGTCCCCAACTCTGTTGTTGATCCATCCGTAAATCCTACTCAGGTAAATAATCAAAACATTATGAACTATAACTGCAACGAAGAGCTATTCTATTTTAGGTAATAGCCACTTTTGAAGGCACGCTTCGCTCAGCAATGGGTAACGCAGTTCTTGATGGCACACTTCATCCGCCAGGTTAGCACTTTCCAATTTTCACTCAAGGACATAAACACTGCCCGTAGTGAAGTATTTCCAGCTTATTCTCCAGAATTCGAGGATTTGTACCCATGGCGAAAAGAGCAGAATGGTTTGGATGAGGATAACAATAGTACGGAAAGAGAAATGCATGAAACTAGCACATCATCGTCAGAAAGACAAGACACGGACGCAAGACAGACAACGCTGAAAATGTTGACTACTGAAGCTCCGGTGATCAATTTCATTGAAACAGCGTTCAGAGTTGCCTGTGTGCCGGCACCGTTCCAGCACCGTGTCGGAACCAAAGCGGAGCGTATAAATCGATCGATGTTCCGGCACGGCGCTGGCACGACAAGTCTGGACCAGCCTTGCACTACGTATGTCTGGATCATACACGCTACCAAATTCAGCCCGAGCAAACAACGTTCGACTTTTCGACCACCGAAACGAATGACTTTCCCTGGACGATACCTATGATTCCTGACCTTAACGATCATCCCCTGGAGATCTTTGTGAAAAGTACCAGCGCAGCGCCTATCATTCGACCAGGTAATTCATCTAGTAATCCCTTAGACCGACCGATATATTGATCCACTTAGCATCTGAACGGTCTGGCAGACGTCTTGCTGATCAAATCATAGATGTGATGACCGAAGAACTGACATTGCGACCAGTGGATGAGTTTCCTACAAATGAAGGTGAGGAAAAGTCGTATAACAGGTTCACGCACTATTTCTGCGAGTAATTTATTTGTAAATACATAATACCAGCCAAAATAATATTCTAAGTTGAAAGCGTATTTTGGTCTTTTGGAAGTGCAGCAAATATCAAAGAAATGAAGCTGTTTCAACTACAGTGGAAAACTTTGATTGCATACTGTACATGGATAATAATTCACTCTTTCATAGTTCAAAAAGAGACTTTCACTGCATCAAATCACCGAAGCAATTGAGATGTTTGCGAACTTGCAAGTTATGGGACACTAATCTATTAAGGTCTAATGAGTCGTGGTGAAGAGTCCGCCTGGAGAGGGGTGGGAAATGCAAACGAACAAGTAAATAAATAGTTTGTTTTGTCTAGGTAAGAAGAATAAAGAATTGATGTCGATATTGTCGAAACAGCACAGTCTTCTAATAATATGAGACGCGAAAATGTGAA